ACCTATAGATTGTCGGTTGTTTTTATGTTAATTGTTGATTTTTGTAAAGAATATACAACGTTATGTTGTCTGCGAGTTTTTAATTTTCTATATATAGCCATGCATATATATATATACAACATGTAATATTGTATTGTTTGGTTGTTAGCTGTTGTTTTTACATGAGTTTTTAGTCTTGTTGTGTTGTATTGTAAATATCTCAAAAGTAGGAGCAGTTTTGGGTCCTTGGAAAGTGTGTATACCGAGATATATCTTTGGTTGGTTGTCATAAGTTTTGTTCTCTAGACTGGGTTTTAGGTACAGCATATAACCTTCAAGTTGTGAGTTGTAGTGTAGTACAGTTGTTTGTAAGAATTTAAAACATTATGTAGATACTTAGTCCTTGTATCAAGCCTTTTGTTTTGAAGAGCAGTTTTGGGTGTTTAGAAAGTGTGTAAACATGTGAAATGGTGACAGATTTTAGGGAAGAATGTGCCACGTGTGATCTACAAGCAGTTCTTGTTTTCATTGGAATTATTTGTTCAATCTTTTACAAGACACATTCCATTCATTGTAGTCTAGCATCTTGTATTTCAAGAACAGATTTTGAGTAGAACCAGCTTTACATAGAGATGAATTCAAAGTGAAAGAAATATGGTAGAATTATGTTTCATATGGTGCAAGATTCCCTCTATATGTCATTGAAGCATATTATAGGAGAATTAGACTGTTAAATGATGGTGTCATGTTCAGTCTTTGTGATCCTCTGTATATTTGCTTTCTCACTTCCCTAAAAACTGTCAAAAGAACTGTTGGTTGGGTTTTACAGGTAAAGAAGTGATGTTGTTTTTGTGTCAAGAGTTTTTGGTTCAGCCTTTGGAAGAGAACTATACCCATACTAATAGTATGTGGTACACTTGTACATGAAATTTAATATTTATAACTGTTACTATAACTTACTATGTTATGAGGTGCATGTAATCAGAAGTCCATTTCATACATTGTTATCCTGTAATGATTTCTACCCTAAAATGTATATTACTAGAAGAATCAAGATGTTTTAATTGTTAGCTTTCATTCTTGTTTTGTCCCTGGGGTTCAAAGTATGAAAGTTAGATGTCGGTTTACTTACAGGTGTCATACCTGTATTTACCTGTCCTGTCTGTAGTAACAATAGCTGTACAGGTGCTCATTCTACCTGTCTGGACCAGGTGTGTCTATTGTAATAATGACTTTCAGGTAACATAGAGTCCAACACTGTACCGACTCAACTTGAGTTACTGTTTGTACATGTTAAGTGTATTTTTTTTTTATCTTCAATTTTCACCTCAGAATTACATAACAAGGCTCATACAAATTATTCAGTGGGTTACATTAATTTTAATCTCTACCAGACTAACTACGCTGGCTATATATAGTAGAATATTTGCCAGGGGAGTTTGGCCGCCTTGTAGGTTTGACAGGCCGCGGAGGGAAAGAAACTACCTCCCCGCAGCCGGACTCCCTTGACCAATTTTACTCTCTTTTTTGTCGAATTCTACGATCCGTATTCCCGTAGAAAGGCCTGGTGGAGGTTATATATTTGCTTCTTCACTTCCCTAAAAACTGTGAAAAGAACTGTTTAGTTTTACATTACAGTTTAAGGTTGTACCCATTTGGGAAGCCTTCACAAGGCCTTTCCCTGCCATTGTGTTTAGATATGTCCAGGTGAATGCTCTCTTTGTACTGCCATTGTTTCAGCTTCAATGCCTGCTTTTTCAGTGTTCCTTACTTGTTATTTGAACAAACAATAGATGAATAGGAAACCCTTGTGAGAGTAATTTTCATGTGGCAAAAATGCCTGAAAGGATCGTGTTATAACTGTTCTATTTGTACATGTAGGTCAACATTGTAAGCTTTATAGACCAATATTTTGTAGGATATAAAAGTTGTAAATCTATCCAACTGTAATGTGTACTCAGACCAAATTACAACATAACTTTTACTCTAGTACAGTCACTGGACTTAATACTCCAATTTACATGTACCTGAAAAGTTTTCTACAATCTGCAGTTACCACTACAGTTCTATGATATACGTTTTGCTTTAATTCTTCAAATTATGATGTCTTAATTCCCAAGAAAGTTATGTTTTCGAGTTTTGTTTTTTTCAGAACAGCATAACTCAAGAAGTCGTAGATGGGTCATTATGATATTTGGTATTTTGGAAGCTGTTTGTAAAGTAAAGAAATAGTGAAATTCTGACCCCCAAAGTGGCTTTCTACATTGTAAGATACTACAGCAGAACTTTCGTTTTTGATACCTTGATTGTACTTTAGGCATTTGTGGACTTTATAGTTCAAACAACACGGTTTACTACAATAATGTTTCTCCATTAAAAGCTTAGGGTGTAACCTATGTTGTGCAGTCAGTGGAAAATAACCTTATATATTATTAATGGCACCTGCTTGTTATACCTTTGTGTGGTTCTCACACCTGGTGCACCTGTACAGGTATCGCCATGGCGATGATTACAGGTGGTTTAAGGGATGACAGTAATTTATGGGGTTTTGTGCTTTTCTCTGCTCTTTGTGTCCACTTGACATGTTTGAAAGCCTTCTTGTCACATGGATAATTACATTGAAACGAATTGTTTTAGAGCAGTTTCTTCTTCCTCTTTTTCTTCCTCTTCTTCCCTTTCCAACAAATATTATTAAGGTCAATGTGAAGTTTAAATCTAACAACTTGAAAGTAGAAAGTCTAACATGTATATTTGACTTTGCTGGTCTGCTATGTAGTGTAATACTAATACTTGTAGTGTATTATCCATCATAAGTAAAATCATTCTTTCTTCAGTAAAATAAAATTGACACATGTATTAATGTACATGTATTCGATACTGGTATTTTCAGAAGCCATACTAATTTCATCCATTTGTTTTCTTTAAAAAAATACTTAATGTAAGTCTAACACTATATATGCCATGCTAGGTTAAAAAAAAAAGAACAACTCTGAAAGTAAACCAATAAATTTCTCCAGTGCTTATATACAGCTTACAACATGACCTTTCCCACCAGTGCTTAAGAAATCAGTTCCAGGTGAGATACAGTTTCTTAAGGAATGTTTACCCCCGTCTTAAGTCAGGCGACTGTTTAAGGCTCCTTAACTCCAGGTGTTTAGAAAGCCGCACCTTTACTGTAAGACCAGCCTTGTTGTTCCGAAAGGCTAGGCAACAACAAAAGACCCTGTGAACCTTAAACTAACACTGTTATAGGTGGGGAAACTGTATCACTAGAAAGCTTTAAACAACTCCTGCAATCAAATGTACAAAGATTGAGCGTAACAAGTCGTTCGGTGTGATATAGCCAGCTGCCGCTGTGCCGTGTGCCTGCGAAGCTGGTGTGTTACGCCAAAGGGCGGTTGTACCGGCTATGCAGATACAGATACAGAGGAAAAGCCTATATAGTATACATTCTAACTACGTCAGAGGGATATACTCTACCCTATATTACTGGCATATTGTTTTACAAAGAAAGGATGTGTTATTCTATATCTTTGTTTTTTTCACATTTGCAAGTGAATATTACATAACACAGTTATAGGTGGGGAAACTAGTCAGGAAAGGCATATATACTAACTATGTCAGAGAAATATACACAGTATGCTGCTGACTTACCCTAGAGTACTGGGATATTCTTTTACAAATGTAGTTATAGGAAGGATGTGTTATTTTATATCTTTGGTTTTCTCACATTTAGCTAGCGAATATGAACTGACGCACTTATATGGAAAACCGTAGTCAGGAAAGGCAGACATTCTAACTATGTCAGACATATATAAACAGTATACTGCTGACTTACCCTATATTATTACAAAGTACATTGTACATGCTGTATTACATTTACCAGTCTATTAATGGTGCTTTTCGAGTTACGAGATCTTTTGTTAAATCTGTTAGAATATTTGTGTATTATAATACTATATACATATGTGTATTTAGACTTATATGACTGACATTTCTGAATTCTTTAACGCACAGTTCATGTTACAAAGTACATTGTCTACCTATTACATTTACCAGTCTGTTAATAGTGCTTTTTGATTTACTAAATCTTTTGTTAAATCTGTCAGCGTGTACAAAATGTATGTGTATTTACAAGTAATATACTATGTAGGTGGTCGCTTGTTAATAAGTTATCAATTGTTTGTTCTTTTCATTATTAGGCACTTGAGATTTGCCTGGAGTTATTAGTTCAGTTGTTAAACTTGACAATGTGTGTATATGTGTGAAAGGTCACTGGTTAATAAGTTAGCAATTGTTTACTTTTATCGATTGTTAACCACTTGAATTTGTTTGGAGATCGTTAGGTTACATTTACTGAGAAAAAAGAGGTGCCAAGTTGTCATAAGAGACTAAATGATTTTAAGTGGTTAGTATTATTTGTTGAACCTTTAGCACACTGATTTAGAGGTAGTCATCTGGCTACCTATTCTCTAACAATTACTGTGCTTTTCTTTAAAGTGACTTGCTGGACTTTAAGAAAAAAGAGTGTATCATACATTTATCATGCATTTTTCTTTCAGTGTTTCAAATGATTAGACAACTACTGGAAAACTATCAGGATAATCAGTGTAAGCAGATCGTTCAGTAACTCAGGATATAGTGTCATGAGTTCATCACTAACTTACATGTATCTCTTGTATTTCCCACACAGACTCTCTGGACCTGTTAAAGTTAGGCCATGTGTGTGTACAGGGGTTATTATTGATTGGTATTGATCACTATTGATATGTAATTGATTATTGATTATTGATATTGCAGATTCGCTGGACCTGTTAAAGCTGGGCCATGTGTGTGTACAGAAGTTTTTATTAATTATTGTCTATTGATTATTAATATTTCCCATTATTTGCTATTGATTATTGCAGACTCGCTGGACCTGTTAAAGCTGGGCCATGTGTGTGTACAGGAGTTATTATTGATTTGTATTGATCACTATTGATATGTAATTGATTATTAACTATTGATTATTGATATTGCAGATTCGCTGGACCTGTTAAAGCTGGGCCATGTGTGTGTACAGAAAGACACTCAGATCTCAGATGTGTACGAAGTTAAGGACAAGCTGGGACAGTGAGTACACTTTTTATTCTAGTCATCTTCAACTTTCCATCTAACACTCAGTCAGTGTGTTTGTGTTTCTATATGTGTGTGTGCACGTGTGCGTATGTGCATCTGTGTGTTTTTCTGTGTGTGTGTGCGTGCGTGAAGTGTAAAAACAGAAAAATTCGAACCTTTTTAATGTACTGTGCTCCAATTTCTGCCTGTGAGAATGTGGGAAGGGCTAAAATTTTCACCAAAGTTTCAGAATTTCTGTTGATGCTAGAAATAGAACAGAGGTATTTGGTCAAGGCTAACAAATCAACGCCATGTCAGGCAGACAGCAGCATGTCCTGAAAGTAGGGTCTACTGACAGGTATGGCCTGAAGGTCCACACCAGCTGTACTTGTTTCTGTCAGCTTAGTTTCTAACGCAAATGGGACTCGAATTCTGGAGCTGTAGCCTAAGTCAGGGCCAGGTTAAGTTCATCTTTTTGTCAACAGTTGGTTGTGTTACATCCTGCTTGAAAATCCCAAGCCATTTAAGTCATACGACAGCTGACAACGAATATAACAACTTACTTTGTCTGTAAAGAAGTTAGAATTAAAGTCTCATGAATTAACAAAATTTATAATCAACTCTAAAAACTTTCCCTCATGCAGGGCCTCTTGAAATTTTATCATCAGAAGCAACAAGTTTTTGAAATAATAGAAAACAGACAAAACCTAGAACTGCCCGAAGGCCCGTCTTTGCTAAGGGACTCGGACGTAAAATGTGGGATCCTTCAGCCTTTCCAAGGAGCCCAATTAGCCCGTCTTAAGTACACAGTTTTTCATACCTTCAGGTCTCGACCTTGTCTTAGAAGGTTTCCCTTGAAGAAGGATAATCCAAGACATCTTGTGTGAGAATGTTGCCTCAAGGCTGCCTGTCTTCAAGATTTCTTACTGTTTTTCTTTTGAGATGTGCTTGTAGCTTGCAAAACCAGATTTGGTTCCTTCAAGTGATCCAATATCTTCTGGCTTGGTTTTCATTTATTTCTGAAAGAAAAGAAGATTTCCTGCCAATGATTCAAAGGAATTAGAACCAGACTAGCAAAGAAAAATATATGGTGGAAACATTTTTGTAAACTATGAAATCTCATCCCTTCAAAAAGAATGATCCTGAAGTACTTTTCTTCTAGTAGCTGTCTACTTCAAGTTCTTCTTTCTCTGTAGAGATTTAAATCACAGTGTTGTTTTGCAAAAGCAATTTTAATCCTTTGTCACTGATGTCATTTTTCTGATTGGTTTTGACTGCTATCTAGAGAATAAATGCAGCCCATTGTTGACAATTACAAAGAAGCTAAATCTCTTGGACACACATCCCTCCCACGAAGCAAGAAACCAAATACCTCACATCTCTTACAAAGTACTTTCCTACATCCGATACTAAAACAGCATAAAGAAATAAATCTGTCCTAACCATGGTAATTTATCAGTAGAATATCACTGGGTTTATCTTAAGTTACCAAACTAGGCCCGACCCCCCCCCCTCCACCTGTTAGTATGACCCGAATCTGTCCCCCCCTGCTGAGAGACGTGGGCCGATCCAAATCACACACCTGTTGCTATAGGCAGGCAGGAGTATCAGGTTACATGTGGGAGAAACAGGCAATAAATAAATCAGTCAATTAATCAATTAATCAAATTTATGAAAGTAGGTCATACATCCCCCCTTGCTGACAGACATTCACCAAAAAGCAGTTACTCAAGCAACTGGATATGATTTTAGAAACAGTCAGACGTTTCAGGTACCTTTTGACCATTGCCTCCCAACCTTCCCCAGGCCATGGCTCGGACATGGTTTGACTAATGATTGTTTATGTCTCAATAACATGTTTCACATCAAATATGTAAGCTATGTACTTTTTAACAGCTTTTGTTTTTGAGAATCTGGAACTGAAATCTTGCAGCCTCCAGTTGCCCTACTTGCTGCTCTGACCATGATTATCCTTCCTGACAACTCTGTCTGATCAAAGGCTTGATAAAAACCCATTCTTAAAGACATTCCCAACATATTAAGACATCTTGGACACAATCTTGATATTTCAAGGCATCTTGGAGACATTTTCATCATCTGAAGACATCTTGCAGCCCTCCAGTTGCCCTACTTGCTGCTATGAGCATGATTATCCTTCCTGACAACTCTGTCTGATCAAAGACCTGATAAAATCCCATTCTCCGATGTTTTGATAGAACTGTCAAGTTACTATGGCAACGTGTTTACGGAAACCTGGGTGGTCTGATGACCTGATAAACACTTAAGAGTCAGATCTGATAACGTAATAACACTTAGAGTCGGAACTGAGAGAGTTATAGGGACAGTACAGGTATGGAACATATATCGTGAGAAATTCAACCAAATGTTTGTGTCTGAAAGCTCTTCTGAATTTGAATTTAAACTTTTAACAAAAGACAAGGTAACACCCACACAGCACACTACTGTTACAGGTGTCTATCCTGTTCTTTTGAAATGAAAACCTAACTTAAGGTACTAAGAAGACAACATTGTGAATGTCGCAATTTTCGAAAATAAATAAGAAGACAACGTATTTCTGTGTGTCCAAGAGTTGGAAAAGTGAAATCTTACCTATTAGTTACAAGGTGAAGCAGAGTAAATGTTAGTAAAACCTTGTGAAGTGATGTTAAACCAGGGCTTTAGCCAGCTCGAAATTTTTTACCGTCAACCCCAGGTCAACCCAATTCGCGAAAAAAATACCGTCAACGCGAAAAAAATTCCGTCAATGATTACTTTTAAAGAATGTCTTTCACGATCCGGTGATCGACATCACGCCCTCCCGCACACTTAATGCATTCGGTGTTCTAAATACCCGTCAAGATTGCAGAATAAAAAAAAAACTACACAATCTGCAATTTTGCAGAATGAAAAAAACTACAGTTCTCACAAGGAGACAACACGCAATGAATAATCCGCTATTCCCTTTGTTTTGATCCGCTCAAATCCCGCCGCGATTCAAGCCGCGGCCATGCAAATGAACCTACTCATGACGTCACAGCCTCCGATTTCCACCGAGCCGGCCCCGAGCGCTGACCGACAGCGGGCGATGTGGCTCAGATCTCCGACGATTTCCTTATTTAGAGCGTTCGGAAGACTTCGGGTAGCAAACAAAATGGCCGACATGTACATGATTTTACTTGTCAGCTTCGCTTCTCAACCGAAATGAGGAAGTTACAACTCCTTTGCGGACTTTAGCGGCCATGAAGTTGACTTGGGGAAGCGCTGAGACGTGATTTCGCTACGACAAAGGGGATTTTGCCGCGGAGGGAGTTACGTGGCCGGCAAAAACTCGCGTGTCAGCGATCCTCCAGAAATCTTTATGCTGCCGCTCAAGTCTTCGCGCGAAGGAGGTCTGACGAAGTTTTAGATTAAATAAGGCCACATTGTGTGGATCAATCTCCGTTTTCTTGCGATAGTATGATTATTCAAGTACAGTATATTATTCAAAAACGTTTGATATTTCTTTGTTCGTTGTCACATGTTTATTTATCGTATTGTCATGTACAGTTAGCAGCGTGTGTCTGAGTCGAGCCATTGTTTTATATTTTATTCTTATGTGGCCGTTAGCACATGTTGTTTTAACAGACAGCAACATTGAACAATAGAGCCAAGTCAACAGACGTCGGCACGGTCCTTGAAATCAGGTTTCCCGCCGCCGTGCGTTTGGAAAAGACGCCGCGCCGTGGCTCATTCAAATTCGCTAGATTTTTTCCATGTCTTTACCCACGATTTTTGACCGTCAATGTTGACGGTAAGGACTAAAATTTTTACCGTCAGACGGGACAAATTACCGTCAATTGACGGTAAAACGGTCGCTGGCTAAAGCCCTGTGTTAAACAGATGTTTGTGTGTGGACAAACGAACATCAACCTGTTTTCATTTCTGACTGAGAGAATTGGGCCATACCAATAAAATATCTCCGCGATACATGCATACAAAATGTAATTTGCAACGGTAACCAAGTTGTATGTGCTTAGACTATAAGCCCTGTTATAAACTACTTCCATCAGTGGCAACAAATCAGTCCAAACAGTTTGGAAACAACCATTTTAATGACCGTGTTTACTACAAGGTCATCTGAAGGTCGGAATTATCAGCTTATTGTGTCCTCTTTCCATTTGTTAGTAATGATACATTGTAAACATACAAATGATATGAGAAATTCAAACCTGTTTCAGAATGGCTACACAGATGAATTTTTGAGCATTATGTTACTGTTTTTTCACTGTTCTACAGTAACTCCAATTTTTGTCAAGGAACAAGAACTTACAGTTCAAATTTGCTTCATATTGTCTTCTACCGACTCAGATAAGTTGAACTTGAAAATTTTGTTCTATTTTCTCCAGGGGCAGGTTTGGAACGGTGTACCTCTGCGAAGACAAGACCACGCGACGGAGGTTTGCGGCGAAGTACGTTCGCTGTCGGCGCTCGGCGGACCGACAGAGCATCAACCACGAGATCGAGATCATGAACCAGCTGAGACATCCCAGAATCCTCCAGTTGTACGACGCGTTCGACTGCGGAAAGGAAGTCGCCATGATCATGGAGCTGTGAGTTTGTTTGTTTGTTTTGAGTTGTGAGACCCAAGTTGAACAACTGTAGAGTAAGACATTAAGAGAGTCCCTGGATGTAGTGGCACTTCAGGCATATATTTCTAGTGTGTAGCGTCTTAGTCACTTAGTCTAATTAGTCTTAGCAATTGTTCTGCTAAGCAAGTTTATAGTCAGTTGACAGTGAACTGTACTGTGAGGGACAGTATCGAGGCACAAACCATTTCTTACTGTAACAGCACTATTGGTTCAAGTCTTTGAATGTTTGAATGTATCACCATTTTGAGTGTCAGAAAGTTCTGTTGAGAAGTTGACAAACTAGGAGGGAATGAGATGAAACCCAAGACCTTAACATGACGATTGTTTCTTTCAGGATAACAGGAGGAGAGTTGTTTCAGCTTGTAGCAGATGAAGCAGTAGAGCTATCAGAGAAGGCGTGTGTGAGTTACGTCAGGCAGCTGTGTGAGGCTGTGTCTTACATGCACGAACAGAACATCTTACACCTGGATCTTAAGGTGGGACATGTCTTAGAACATCTCAGGTTCTTCCTTAAGACAGTAGAGCTATCAGAGAAGGCGTGTGTGAGCTACGTCAGGCAGCTGTGTGAGGCTGTGTCTTACATGCACGAACAGAACATCCTACACCTGGATCTTAAGGTGGGACATGTCTTAGAACATCTCAGGTTCTTCCTTAAGACAGTAGAGCTATCAGAGAAGGCGTGTGTGAGTTACGTCAGGCAGCTGTGTGAGGCTGTGTCTTACATGCACGAACAGAACATCTTACACCTGGATCTTAAGGTGGGACATCTTAGACTCGTCTCAGGTTACTCCTTAGCCTACATGCACAAACAGAACATACTACACCTTGAGACGTCTTCATTGTTGTCTTAGAACAGCCTCTGAGTCAGTTATTCTTAAGGCAGTTCTCTAAAACCTTAGCCTACATGCATGAACCGGAGTGGGGTCTTGTTCTTTGTCTTTTTTTTTGCAATATCACTGAAGCTATCATTGACGTACAGTATATTTGTCTGTATTCATACTCATTTGGTAATTTGTTTGTTTGTTATTTTTTGTTTACCACCAACTTTTGTTTGTTTTTTGTAGCCCGAGAACATCATGTGCATCAGTAAGAAGGGAACGGCCATCATTGTTTGTTTGTTTGTTTATTTTTTTTATCATGAACGTTTGTTTGTTTTTTTTAGCCAGAGAACATCATGTGCATCAGTAAGAAGGGAACGGCCATCAAACTGATCGACTTCGGGCTGGCCAGGAAATTTGACCCCAAAGCAGACAACAGGGTGATGTTCGGCACACCTGAGTTTGTTGCACCTGAAGTCATCAACTTTGACAGTATAGACTACAGCACGGACATGTGGAGCATTGGAGTCATCACCTACGTTTTGTAAGTCACTTATATTCTAAACAAAAACCAGAAAAGTAACATTTACAAGGCAAATGCATAATGTTTACCTTCACATATGGTCTGCTCTGTTAATTCTTACTCTAACGCATTCATATATATGGTGACAGGAGTCTAAATCCCTCCTGCTATAAAATTGCAACATGAAACTTAGTAAAAAAACATCATTTATTGTTTGTAGACATAGTGTGTGATTGAGTGTAGACATAGACATCCTGTATACACTAAGTATTTTAAGCTTCCTCTGTCTTCTTGTATAAATAAATGTAGGAGGAGGGGTTACTTTGTTTTTCAAAATGATAAAGAATTGTTTGTTGTTTCTTTATTTTAAGACTTGTTAGTTGTTTGTTGTTTATATGAAGGACTGTTTGTTTGTTTGTTTGTTTGTTTGTTTGTTTGTTGCAGACTGAGCGGCCTGTCTCCCTTTATGGGTGACACAGACCAGGAGACCCTGGCAAACGTCACGCTTGTTTCTTTATTGTTATTTATTGTTTATTTGTTTGTTTATTTGCAGACTGAGCGGCCTGTCTCCCTTCATGGGCGACACAGACCAGGAAACGCTGGCAAACGTGACGCTGGCAGAGTTTGACTTCGATGACGAGGCCTTCGACAACATTTCAGATGACGCTAAGAACTTCATCGAACAGCTTCTCCTCAAGGACAAGGAGTAAGTTAACGAGTTATTGACCAGTTATTAACAGGCCTGGTTAGTGTAATTCTCTTTGTCTTCATGGTAGAAAAAGTCACTCTCAGAAGAAAATAAGTTAACGAATTTGTTTGTTTTGCATGACCAGTAAACCACCTATAGGCTTAAAACACCAGTTTTGTACAGTAAGTACAAGCTGCGCAAGACCAGGTTGTAAGGTTTGAACCACTCACATAGGGAAAAGTCCCCTACTCTTTTTGATACGTATGGTGTGATCTTCAACAAATTGCTCAAGGTGTGGCTGTCCTAAAACACGATACAGTACCTCCGGCTTTACGTCCTATCAGAGAGGATGTCCCTAACCGAAGCTAGGTACTGATTTTTGCCCAATGTGTTGACCTTAACTTCTTGATCTTGTGCCTTCCCCAGTACAAGATGGCCTTGTGTTTAAGGAGAATCTTGAATGTCTTGATACTGTACTAACATGTTGACTGTTTTCCCCAGGAGTCGCCACACAGCTAAGTCCGCCCTGCAGCACTGCTGTGTTACACGTTACATGTAACGTTAGTTACTGTATGTCTAAGTAGAGTCTTGATTGTTTTATATTTTATTTTTTAGGAGTCGCCACACGGCCAAGTCTGCCCTTCAGCATTGCTGGCTCGCCCAGGACAACACCAAGGTGCGGAACGAGAAGATCAAAACAGACAAACTCCGACGCTGGTGGCTCAAGAGGAAATGGCAGGTACGTCACTTGAGTTGTCATGGCAACAGGGCCAGTTACCATGGCAACAGATGTTGGATTAAGGGAACAGGTGGTTGCCCAAATCCTGGGCCTAAGAAACAGCTGGTAGAGCAGGCTGGGGGATTTTTGACCAAAGGTTTGCAACAACAATTTAAGGCCACATAATGTAATTTGTTGGTGTTTCTAAATCAACTCCAAAATGCTCATATTTTGGCCACAACAGTTGAAGAAAGTTATTCCGAGTTGTTACAGTTTTTTCAACCATTGCAGTATTTGATTAGAATTCACGACTGATGTTTAACTGTTGTTGGATGTTTCTTTAATGTGTAACTGTGACCATTTTAATTTGTGTTCCAAGTTAAAACCTTAGATCCAACACAAAACATTCTCTCACCTAGAGTTTTCGACCAGTCACTCTGGTCTTCCTCAGTAGACTGACCCAGTGAGGTTTGTCATGTGGCTTCTTTGAAGTGTGACGTCGACACTGGGTCAGTCTACTGAGGAAGACCAGAGTGACTGGTCAAAAGCTCTAGGTGAGAGAACTTTTTGTGTTGTATCAAAACTTTTAACTTTAAACATGTAACTACCAACACAGATAAGCCTTCATGATTGTGTTTATTTTTGTTTATTTCCCACAGAAAGCGGGAAACGCGATCCGAGCGGTCGGCAGGTTTAGGAGATCGCTGGGGCTCCTTTCCGGCAGCGTCTCAGAAGGATCCACCTCCTCACCGAACGGATCAACGTCTACCGAGGAGAACTGAACTATCTTAAAGACGTTACCAACATCTCAAGATGTCTTGGACACAATCTTAACATCTTGGAGGCATTCTTAGCATCTTGAGACATCTTCAAGACATTATTAGCATCTAAAGACATTTAGAAAGACGTTGTCAACATCTCAAGATATCTTGAAGACATTTTCAGAATCTTAGATGTCTCAACATCGTGGAGACTTCTTGTCAATATCTCGAGATATCTTAGAGGCATTGTTAGCATCTTCAGATATCTTCAAGACATTCTTGACATCTCAAGATTTTTTGGAGACATTCTCAACATCTCAAGATGTCTTGGAGAGAATCTTAATATCTGAAGACATCTTGAGACTTCTTGAAGACATTCTCAACTTATCAAGATATCCTGGAGACAGTCTCAACATCTCAAGACACTATTAATGTCTCAAGAAATCTTATGGACATTCTCAAAGTCTCAAAGCGTCTTGGAGACATTCTTGGAGGTGATAAATATTTAAGTGTGATGACGACTGAAGTTCTAAGGATCCTAAAGTCTCGCGGTACCGCACCTGGAGAAACACACCTGAGAAACACACCTGTTCTTGTCACACCTGGTAGGATTTTGTCTCACCTGGATTTACACCTGACAAGAACCTTAACCTGTATAGAAAATTTCTTAACAATACCTGAGACTGTTGGTTCACAACTGCAGCAGAAAAAAGGCAGTCTTCTGAAGGCTGGAAAAGCAGATCTCAGTGTGCCTTGAAAAGCCTGGATTTTGAGGCTAATTTTTACCAGGAGCCTTTTGTCTCACCTGGATTTATAGCTGAGAAGAATCTTCAACTGTGTAGAAACTTTCTTAACAATATCTAAGACGTTGGTTCACAACTGCAGCAGTAGAAAGGGCAACTTCTGAAGGCTGGAAAAGCGGATCTCAGTGTACCAGGAGCCTTTTGTTCCACCAAGAAGCCTGCTGTTGGAGACTATGTTGTCGTTTTCTCAAGAACTTTCTCTGTTCTTCAAGAAACAACTCAAGATCATAAAATCCTGATGTAAAGTTTGGCTGTGAAATATCTACACTTCATGATGCAGTGGAAACAGCCAGCTCACAAGCGCCGCCTGGTGAACACTATTGGAATTGCAGGACAAGGCAGAAGATACTGAAAGCTACAAACTTACTGTAAATCACCTGCATGTGTGTTGTGCTTTGTGAGAAAGGTCTTCGCAACTTTGGCTGATGGTTACTTCTTCAGACTATCACATTTCACTATTTCTATGACAAACTGTAACAAACACACATGTTGCAAATTGTGGCAAACTTTGTAACAAACATCAAAATTAACCCCTGAGTAGCAAACAGTTCCACACTGTGGCTGTTCATTCCCATGTTTTTTCCAACACCAGTTTTTTTGCACCCTCTGATTTGAAAAAAAAAAAAATTGTTCCTGTGTATGCTACACATTCCCCAAGCTGTTACTTTATAACATATGGTAAAAAATTGGTGGAAATACATGTATTTATGACTAGGAGAAGATAAGAATAAGAATGATACTTGGAACTTTGTAGAAAAGGCTGAGTTTAAGGCTCTGTCTTGGACCAAGGGAAAAACATAACGTTTGGTCAGGAGTGACAAACAATACTGTGTATAAATGTAAATCGGACACGGAGAAACTATATTTTGAGACAAAACTGAGGTGTGGGGAATGTGGTATGGTAACGAACATTTTTGTCGTAAGAAAATCGTTGTAGAGCGTTGTAAGAGTAAGAGTGACTTTGTTAGCTTAAGAACTGTACAGATATACAGGTTATGGTAGTTACTAACTCTGATGTCAAGCACCTTGCAGACCCAAACCCCTCACTCTGAACATGAGGTGTTTTTACTATCATAAAAGTTCATCTGTGTTGGTAGTTACATGTTTAAAGTTAAAACTTGAGATGCAACACAATAAATTTCTCTCACCAAGAGCTTTTGACCAGTACACTCTGGTCTTCCTCAGTAGACTGACCCAGTGAGGCTTGTCATGTGGCTTCTTTGAAGTGTGACGTCAACACTGGGTCAAAGGTATCTGGTAGACTATGGCGGCCCCCGTCACGGCAGAGTGAAGGTTGAAGGTGTTTTTGTTTTTCTGACAGGAATCATGGCCACAAATTTGCAAATTTCTTACAACAAACAAAAGTACAAAACTCAGGGTTGAAAAGAAACAAGTGCCTTGCGATTTTTCCGCAGAAAAGCTAACAATTTCAAGCACAACTTTTCTTAATTTCTGTGGTTCTAGTTTTTATGAAACAAAAGCCATTTGCTTTGCCTACAATCCACTTAATTGTACGTGTAAGAAACAGGAATCGGTATACTTAACTGCTTTTTTTCACTTGTTACAAAATGTATATCTTCACAATCATGTTGTGGAAAAAAGCCATGTTTATTTATCCTAACGAACACTTAATTATCTCACAGAAATAACGACTAATTAATTAATTATGTGATGTAAAATTTGCCGTGAACTTATGTCACATTGACGCAATGTGTATATATATATATATAAACCAAATAGTTTTAACAATGTTTTTCCCAACTTCAAAATTGTATCATAGCATTATTACGTGACATATTTTCAAGTTTGTTGGTTAACATATAGGTTAAGAAGAACACTGGAACTTCACTGATATTTTAGAGTTGTTATGTTAAAAGTTGTTGCTTTTTGACTCCAACAGTGTTTCAATACATCACATTTTGCTGTTGCAGTTGGTATGGGCTGATATGTTTGTATTTTCAATAAATTTTATATTAATATCAATCTGTTGTGTGTTTTTGTGTCATTTTCGCTGCTTTTAGATTGTCTAGTTTGTTTGGGAAACAGTTTTGTGAGTAGAAACTGCGATGATGCAAATTATCTGGGTCGTAACCCTGGTTTTTGCTGAGCCAAACAGAATAACTGACGAGTGAAGTACATTGTAGAAACTTTATGAAAACATTACAACACAACTCATAACTTAGATAGAGGTGGTCTGTATCTGCAATAAAAGAAAGTTAAGACTGAAAACCAAACAAAATCAAGCAAAGAAGATTAATAGATGATAACAGACAAGCATAGGAGCAAAACATTACAAGTAAAGTACAGTGTAATATACATGCATCAGCATCCAATACTATGGCAACAGACCAAGGAGTTACAGCACATATGTATAAATCTGCAGTTCCAAATATTCTGACTTAATATAGCTGCAAGATAAGATCTCCATCCCAACAGTGGCCTCCCTAGGTGTAGTACCCTTGACCGCCGCAATGTGGCGTGCTTGAACAGTGTGTTAGCATATTCTCCAAGCAGATATGGGTTCACCGCTACGTCTGGTGGGGATCACTGGTAACCCTGTATCTGCTGTAATTTTAGCTCATTCTCTGTTGAAATTAGTTCCTTCTCTGTTGACTTTAGTTCCTTCGTTGAGCACAAATTTTGTCGTTTTCGTCCTTCGTATGATCGTTACTCTCCAAGCAGATACTAGGGTGCCAAAAGACAGTGTCAAATTAGCCAGGCAGTATCCATTCGCCCTCTAGGATCTGCTGAAGATTACTAGTCCTGAGTAGTAGATTGTAACTTGTCAGCGTTTATGTTAGCAACATCGCATCCTTCCGTGACTCACAGATATCTGTATGCTATGGGATAGGTTAGGTTCAACTTGCTACGTTCAAAAATGACTAGACATTTTAAAAGCCAATTTGACTGCCATGAATGGGTGCCTTTGACAACACCTCAGGAGAATCGGGAGCGTGTGAATTCTGTCTACCCTACATCTGCTTTGAGGTAACCGACACACTGCTCAAGCACGTCATCTAGCGGCGGATATTGGTGTTGCAGTAACCGCACAGCTCATTAACTTCACTGATCTTCCGATAATCCTGTCTACCCCACATCTGCTTGGAGCAAGTAACTCGACACACTGTTGGACTGCGCCACCTAGCGGCGAGTGTTGGTGCTGCAGTAACCGCCCGTCACGCATTCTTCATAGGTCATTAACTTCACTCTGATCTTTTCATAATCCTGTCTACCCTACATCTGCTTGGAGGTAGCCTGATGCACTGTTGGACTGCGTCACCTAGCGGCGGGTGTTGGTGCTGCAGTAACCGCCCGTCACGCATTCTTTACAGGTCATGAACTTCACTCTGATCTTTTCATAATCCTGTCTACCCTACATCTGCTTGGAGGTAGCCTGATGCACTGTTGGACTGCGTCACCTAGCGGCGGGTGTTGGTGCTGCAGTAACCGCCCGTCACGCATTCTTCACAGGTCATTAACTTCACTCTGATCTCCTGATAATCCTACACTTCCGGTTACAGGTAGAGTTTCCGGTCGCGGACTGTACATTATTGCACTGAACAGGAGGAAACTATAGCCACATGTAAACTGTACAATCGTACCCTTCATGATGTCTTGATTGACAAATGTAAAAGTTGGGACCATTTTTAAATCCTATCTTTGTGCATGTAGACCCAACGGTATTCTATCCATTTCTTTCTTGTTGGATAGTTCATATAGTAATATACGACACCAACTGTGTGATTTATAACCAACGCATTTCCTCCCATCCCCTTGCATACATAACGGACCGTCCCCCAGGTGAGCGCGCGCTGTGACATCACCAGACCGTCCCTGTCATGCAAAAATATAGTCTATCCATCTCTTTTGACGATTAGGGTATTTCATACACGGTACCCACTCTGTTACATTTCCTCCCATCCCCCGCCATACATAACGAACCGCCCCCCAGGTAAGCGCGCGCTATGACGTCACCAGACCGTCCCTGTCATGCAAAAATGCGTGACGTCACAGCAGGGCACGGCAGGGCGGGGCCTCTGGTGCGCCTGCGCCGGAGGGCAGTCGGGCTTCAGTCGAAAGCTAAACACTCGGGAAGACGGACGTACTTTTCTTCACGGAGACTTAAAACTACTTCTTACTTCTTAAGGCGTGGGATCTCACCTGAAGGAGACAGGTGTGACTTCAAGACACTCCGCACAGGTATGTACTTACCTTTGTTTGTGATACACAGGTGACACGAGTTGTTGTGAGTTGTGGATTGTTTTGTTTACTTTTGGCCTGCTGTCAACAAGCAAGTTTCCGTTTTACATATAAGATAGTCTCTACCAGACTAACTACGCTGGCTACATACACATATAGGAGAATATTTGCCAGTGGAGTTTGGCCGCCTTGTAGGTTTGACTGGCCGCGCAGTTCGGAGGGAAAGAAACTACCTCCCCGCGGCCGGACTCCTTTGGCCCATTTTACACTCTTTTTTTGCCGAATTCTACGATCCGTATTCCCGTAGAAAGGCCTGGTGGAGGCTAGGTTATAGTAGCTTCTAGTCAGATCGCGATCCACTGCTAATATTTGTGTTTACTTTAGAAGAAAAAAACTGTTGTTCTAATCTTAACAAATTCGGAATTTAGAGATTGAAATTTACTGACGTGGAAAATTCCGGAGCCTTGAGGCACCTGGATCCACCTAAGGAGTTTGGTTTAAGATATTTGTCTTGGAGAGTCTTGCAGCGTCTTGGGGTCGGATGCCACATGATTGAAACGTCTTGAGCGTCTTGGAGACACGTTTTTAAGTAAAACCTTCGCCTTGAGACATTCTTGAAGGAAACTTAACCCACCAGACCGTCCGTGAATCGGTGTGAGCTACCTCCGGGCATGCCGACATGTTTTGGGTCGTCTGGCGATTTTTCCGAACTTTTATAAACTTCAAAACAAACATCAGACGATCTGAAGTTACGGGTAAGCAGGGCTTAACATACCTACATGCTTCCCTGACAGACACGTAGCAAGACTAGCCTCCACAGCATGCCAAAAACTGGGGGTTTTGGGGGTCTTTGGGGTCTTCAGGATCTTTTAGGTGCTATTTTCTGATTGCATATCGACAACATAGCCGGCCTGGTTGAATTACCCACGTTTTTTTAGAACTGGGCTAATCAGAAAACAGCCGAAGACCACCAAACCCCCAGTTCTATAAGCCTGCTACGGAGACTACATGTAGCAAGACAGTTGCCATGTGATGTGTCAGTTTGAGTTGCTACACGGTGTGTCCGTGTGTGTGTGTGGCAGGGTTGTAGCAGACAGTATGTTTATTTGTAATAGCTCAGGTCTGGCAGACACAGGTGAACACACCAGGGTTTCCGCTGTCGCGAACTGTCCTGCTGTTTTGTAGCTTTTGAAAGTCTATAGCCTCTTCCAGGCTTCGGAAGTGGCTGGACAGAGTAGAAATTGGCCAGATAGACAGGTATTAAACATTCCAGGGATTTCATATAATAGTCTGCTATAGTTTGTCTCTCTGTTTAGCCAATTTTTAGTCTTTTCAGCCGCCTCTGAAGCCTGTTATAGAGGCTAGGGTTCCCCTGCTATGCTGTTTTGTCGCGTTTGAAAATCGTTAGCCTCTACCAGGCTTCGGAAGTGGCTGGAAAGAGTAGAAATTGGCCTGATAGTCAGATAACATTCCAGGGGAGTGAGCCTGCTAAATGAGTACAGTTTGCCTCTCTGTTTGGCCGATTTCTAGTCTTTCCAGCCACCTCTGAAGCCTGTTAGACTTTAGAGGCTGTGGTTCGCCTGTCCTGCTGTTTCGCTTGTTTATTTTGCTGTTTTGTTGGTTTAGGAAACCACAGGAAGGGGGAGGGCAGGGTTCTAAACGGATCTTTCTAAATGAGTCCCTCCGTGTCAGTATTTCGCCTGGGGCGAGTCGCAGACCACAATTTTCCTAATAATCACCCGGCTGTAACAAAAACCTGTCGGACACTCGAGTAACGAGGAACACATGCACAGTCCTGCCGTCTGATGATAGCCTCTACCAGGCTTCGAGAGGCATTTGGAAGAGTAGAAAATAGCCTCTACCAGGCTTCGGGAGGCTGCTGTTGTTAGCCTCTACCAGGCTTTGGGAGAAGGCTGTTGTTGTTAGCCTCTACCAGGCTTCGGGAAGCGGCTGTTGTTAGCCTCTACCAGGCTTTGGGAGAAGGCTGTTGTTGTTAGCCTCTACCAGGCTTCGGGAAGCGGCTGTTGTTAGCCTCTACCAGGCTTCGGGAGGCTGTTGTTGTTAGCCTCTACCAGGCTTCGGAAGGCGGGTGTCGTTAGCCGCTACCAGGCTTCGGGAGGCGGGTGTCGTTAGCCGCTACCAGGCTTCGGGAGGCGGGTGTCGTTAGCCGCTACCAGGCTTCGGGAGGCGGGTGTCGTTAGCCGCTACCAGGCTTCGGGAGGCGGCTGGAAAAGTAGAAATTATCCTCTAACAGGATTCGGGAGGCGGCTGGAAAGAGTAGAAACTAGCCACAAATAGAGAGAACATGACGGCGGAGTTTGTCCGCTAGAGACTACATTTTGCCGCACCCGTGGGTCGCTAAATGTACCCTCTCTGGTCGGCTAACTCCCTGGTATACTTGTACTATTGCCTTTATTTCGGCCAATTTCTACAATTTTAGTGATCCGCGGTGGCTGTAGAGGCTAGTCCGTTATCTCTGGTTGTGGACAGGATGTTTAACTTGAGATCGGCCAGACGCCAGACCAGTGTGACGTGTGAACTGATATGTAGGTGTGACGACCCTTTCTTGTTTTTCTTTCTCAGGGATTTCGGGACGTGGTTTTTACGGTAATGACAGTAATTATAGTCATTACGGCAATCTACCGTGAAATGTGTAAAGGCAGAAGTCAGAATCACGGGACCAAAACAGACGTAAACATTGGGCAACTGGACATTTTCGGAGCAACTAAAATATCTCAAATTATTCACCCTGGTTGAGATTATGTATATCTACTGTCAAATTAGCCATTTCAGGAGCCTGGCAGCCACCAAGATTAGCAAAACTCACTCACAAAGCTGAAAACAAAAACAAAACGACTTATGTACATATGTACACATTGCACTTCCGTTTTAAGGTGGACGCCTTTGAATTTGATAGACTTTTAAGTCAAATATGATACTAGTACTTGCATCGCGCGACCTATAAAACTAAACTAAACGCCCCGACTATGTCAGAAAGATTTTTAAGGTTACTTTTCTTCGTTAGCCTCGTAGCAGGCCCTTTCTTGGAAAGCATTTAGCAATTTATTAATTTATTTCAGCAAGGTACTCCAGGTCTCCAGTACTAAACGGCTACTGTTGTTGTCTTTTGTTTGCCCCAGTTTTAATACTAAAATCATCGGAACAGCAGACTGTTCATTCAAATCTTCCCCTCCCAACATCTGCTTGGAGTTTAAACCTGAATGTTTGGTTGCCTGATCACCAGACAGTGTCACTCTCCGGCTTTGGCCAATTTTTGGCGTGTTTTAGGCTTTTTAACAGGCTTTCTTTTTACACTCGTATCCTTACTTTTGTAACATTTTTGTTCGGTCGGCACACAATAAAAGACACCAGTACAAGAAAGAAAGCCCGAAAAAAAGCCTAAAAACACGCCAAAAATAAGTCCAAACCTGAATGTTTGGTTGCCTGATCACCAGACAGTGCAGTCGGGGACACGACGTGACAGAATGTAACCTGGAGGGACCGGCTTTTATGCCTGGCACAAAACCACCACACAACCTAGCCTCTACCAGGCTTCGGGAGGCGGCTGCAAAGAGTACATATTGGCCAGCCGCCTCCCGAGGCCTGGTAGAGGCTATGATCACCAGACAGTGCAGTTTGGGACTCGACGTGACAAAGTGTAGTATTATCTCTGGCACGGTCGGTTAACTACTGCACCAGGCCCACCAGTAGCCTCTACCAGGCTTCGGGAGGACTGTAGCCTCTACCAGGCTTCGGGAGGCGGCTGCAAAGAGTAGATATTGGAAGCCTGGTAGAGGCTATGATCACCAGACAGTACAGTTTGGGACCCGACGTGACAGAATGTAGCCTGGAGGGACAGGCTATTATACCTGGCACGGACGGTTAACTACTGCATAACCTCCAACACTACTCAGTAGTGGTTCGCAGTAACTGCCAAGCCTAACATTAGCCAAGAAAAAACAGATCAATGTAAGCAAACAGGGGAAATAATTTAGAGTTTGGCCAACTCATGGTTTTATTTGCCAGCGCTACGTGAACTGCTACCCTTAAGTTAACTCTCCTGGCCGACACTATCAATCATTCAATGACCCCTTAAGGTACATTGTAGAATAGAAAGGTGTCTGGGCCATCATCTATACTGTATGACATGGTAGTCTTTTAGGCCTATTTTAATAAGTTTTTGGTATAATTTTACCGCTAAATTGAACGGCAAAGTCGTAGTTTTTGACGCCTTAGTTAGTTGTGGGCATTGTTTGGAAGGCAGGCCTGGCGGAGGCTACTAAAATTATGTTTGCCGAATTCTACCATCCATGACCCTTGTGAAGGCCTTGTGGAGGCTAATAATCCATGACCCTCGGAAGGCCGGGTGGTGGTTAATGAAATAATGACCGGTCCCTAATGTGCGTTCTGCGTGCCGAGAATCCGCCCAGTCGGGATGACCTTGTGGGAGAATTATCCTGGAGACAGCTCGGCAAGGTCAAACTAGTTGTAATGAATTCTCCTGTGAGGAATTCGCTGCCAAACAAAAATACTCAAGTTTCGTCTCTAGAACAGGATCCAAACAAACGCTTGAAGCTCTCAGCGACGTGGCTGTCCGTGGCACAGTTTTCATCGATATCATTCGAACTCTTGTAAGTTTTTACTGTTTACCAGTTTTTGTGAATATTTGTTCTCTTGCATTTTAAAACCATGTCCAAAGATTTAAGTGGACTGTAGAATTACTTTAACCCTCATTCAGGCATGTTACACTCCTGAATTTCGCGATTGATGCAATGTTCAAACAAAGCAGCGATACTCTATGTTAAGAATGTCAACAAAACAGTCTGGAAAATGAGAACGTTTGAACATGATTCTTTCGTGATTGCGTTTTAATTTTTGTTCCATTTTTGTTGGAGCCTTGGTTTGCGCTTATGGAGCCTGTCTTTGGAAGTTATAGACAAAATACTTCTGTGTCGGGAGGAAGAAAATATTTTCACAACAATTATCGGCGCCGCGGGTTC